AAGAGAACCATATCAATTTGTGGAAAATGGGCATCCGATGTCCCCTTTTAAACACTACTTCTGTTAAATGGGTGGTTATGAACAATTATGTTTTAAATCTTACAATTGATATGTGATGAAAACGACATTTTTCTTACATACTGTATAGTTGGTCATTTTTGTGTGTGGAATGGATCTATTCATTAATTTTACCATGGTAAATAAGCAGAGAGCAACGGCTTCTTTACAACCAATCTGAAAGTTCCATGTGACTGCGACTAGAGGGCCAAATATGACAATAGTATGCGATAGTGGAAAACCGGCTTGAGCTTTTTTACAGAAATAGTGTTTAAAATTCAACATTGGACATTCTCATTTTACGCTCATAGTTTTGATTGAAAAAGTTCAAATATTTCAATACATATGCTGCTCAAAAAAATTAAAGGAACACTTTTTAATCAGAGTATAGCATCAAGTCAATTAAACTCCTGGGATATTGATCTGGTCAGTTAAGTAGCAGGAGGGGGTTGTTAATCAGTTTCAGCTGATTTGGTGTTAATGAAACTAACAACAGCCATTTACATAATTTACATCATATTTTTATCATCTCGAACTGATCAGTGGAGGATGGTTAATATTTGCTAATAATTTGCTTGAAGACATTTTTTTAGATGGGCTGGCTTTCTTAGTTTTTTGTTTTCCCAAAAATGAATTTGTGAAACAGATTACAAAGTTTAGAGTTAACAGAACTTTTAGTGCATGTAAACAAACCTATGACAAAACACCGTCATGTCAGGTTGAACAGTGTTAAAATAAGGCTGTTTCTTTGTATTTATGCTTGATGGTAAGTTCTCTTTTGTTTTAGGGTGAATGGGAGAAGCAGGAGATACCGGTGGTGACGGCGGAGCTCCAGAGAGCCCCGTACCCGTGTGAATTAAGCCGTCGAGCGTCCTCTCTGAATGACAACCCTACAGAGGTCAGGCCCGACAGCAGCGTCTGATGCATCTGACTCCTGCTGAGCTCAACCTTTACCATGCAGCAGCCTGGACGATGTGTGCTTCAAAGTGATCACATAAAATAAATGACCCAAGCACTGTTTTGTGTTTAGATTATTGTTCCATTACTTTTATGTGGGAAGGTGTAGTATATAATGTCAGCAGTGGAAATAGAAACAGCATTTTTATGGATAAAGTTGCACTAACATGATTGTGCAGTACACAATGAATACCATCTACTTTTTTTAAAATAGTAAGCAATTATGCAATGATAAACATTTCAAATAGTAGCATGCTAAATTGTCATAGGACCTCATTTAATTCTTGCTTCCACGAGTGTCATCCAGTTACATCTTAGAAATAAAAATTACCATTTTAAATATTTAGAATTTTGTTTTGTTTGTGGCATTATTTACTGTTCTTCCTCCACACTGGAAATTTGAGTGCAATGCATTGTGGGATATTTTCTCAAAGCATTATGATGTACACTTGAGCTACTAAATTTGACAAAAATATGTAGTGTGCATCCGATTTCAAAGTTTGGCGTCGGTAAGATTTTTTAAATATTTTTAAACATTGACATTATTATTAATAATCATTATTAAAGTCTCTTCTGCTCACCAAGGCTGCATTTATTTAATCAAAAATGTTGTAAATTGGTAAAATCGTGAAATATTATTACAATTTAAAATAACAGTTTTCTATTGTAGTGTATTTTAAAATGTAATTTATTCCTGTGATGCAAAGCTGAATTTCAGCATCATTACTTGCTGCTCAAGAAACATTTATTATCAATTTTGAAAAAAGTTGTGCTGCTTCATATTTTTGTGTAAACCGTGATACCTTTTTTTTTTTTTTTTGATAAATAGAAAGTTAAAAAAGGACAGCATTTATCTGTAATAAAAAATCTTTTGTACTATTATAAATGGCTTTACTGTAATTTTGGTCAATTTAATACATTCTTGCTAATTAAAATAAATAATTTCTATCAAAAAAAATTAAATCTTAACCCAAACATTTGAATTCCAGTTTATGTCAATATGCCGTATTGCAGAGTTCACAATATGACAAAACTGGCTTTTAATCTTCATACATTTTGCAAATTCACACTTTCCATTTAAACAACAAATAAAGTTAAACAGCAGACAGCTTAAAGGCCAGCCTTTAGAAAGAATTACTATTACTAGCAATGAGGAAATGTAATTTATTGGTTAATTTTTTTTGCTAGTTAAAATCCAGTAAAAATGTTAATTTAACAGTTACAGTACATGTGGATGAATTGATGGCCCAACATGCAGAAATCACGGAAAATACAGCACAAAACACTTTCACATCATGTGTTGAATAAAAAAAAAAAACACTACAGGCATCTTATTTAATTCCACAGATTTATATTTGACAAAAAGTTACAGTAATTAAACCATTATATTATTTTTTATAAATGTTATTTTACATTTAACCAAGACTGACATCTTCAATGCACAGCTATTCCACAAAAACACTCACTAATATTCAAACAAGTACAAAAAAGTAAGAGACGGGCTCATGATTGCTCACTAAAATGTTATTTTCGGAAAAATATGAATGATTTCTTTCTGAAAAACATGAAATTTAAAGGCACAGGAAGATGTTGAACATTGTTACACTGTATAACTGGGTTAAATTCACATTTGTTCTTCTATGCTCCTTTATGGTGAATCATGCCTTTAAGACAGTGACTATAAATACAGAAGAGTATTTAGTTTTGTCTGGAATGCTGATGCTGATGTGTTGGATAAAGGCCTGTAAACATTTACCTCAGTTACACTCAATCAGTCTGGATCAGTTTCATTCTGGCTTTGTTCAGCCGTAGATGCCCTTAACGTGCTTGTTCTCGGGGTCAAAGGGAGATTTCAGGTGAGCCGTAGCCTTATATGTGACGCCCATCCTCTCCAGAGTGAATTCCCTGCTGCGGACGAAATCTGGGCTCACCTGGGGGAGAATTAAACACAGAAAAATTCAAGCTAATTTTAACATGGATTTATGATTGAAATTAAAAGGCTTTTAATCTACGACTATTTATTTTGTCATTCATATCACAGATTATAATGAGCTCTGCTCTCACCTCCCTCTCTTTCTCTCTGTGCCCCTGCTGCTCTCTCTGTCAGGGGTCGCGTCTCTTTTTAATTAAATCTGAGCAAGCTGCAGGCATTACCCTGTGGAGTCCAGATCAAGACGCAGTGGTTGGAAAACTAGCCTGACCTCTTTAAGCGGGCACATTGCAGTCTTAATGGACACATTGGTAGATATCCACTGATTGCTACTAAGAATTAGGCAGTAAGCAAGCGGCTGTGGCTACACTAACTAAAGCGAAAACTGCTGTACAATGACTCTATGTACAAATAAAACAAATTATTTGCTCATGCAAATACAGAAGCTCTACACAGTGTCTTGAGCTCCACACACTTCTGCCTACATGTGTTAAAAGAGGTATCAAAAATAATATGCCACTCTCTAAACCCCTATTACTATTGAAACACAAAAAGAAACAATGGCAAAGTTTCTGTTTGCTAAACAATGAAAGTGGATAGCAATTTATAGAGTGAAACAGTTATAGTAACAGTAAGTATGAATCTCCATAGGGGAACTGATTTTAAACAATAACTTTACAATGAAATACTGTGAGCTACGAGGTTAATTGATGATATATATGCTTTTGTTGATGCCAACAGTTGGCATTATTTTTAAATAATTGTGTTTAATCATGTTTAATTCCTGGGGGAAAACTACATTACCCATGGTTCTGCAAAGGAAATTTCACCAATGAGAGAAAAGCCGAGAGTTGATTGACAGGAGATCTGGCCAATTATAACGCTGAATTTTACATTTTGTCAGACAAACAAACCAGACAGGAGAGTAGATTAAAGTCGGTGGACTTGAACTTGCAAAATGGTATGTACTGATGTCTTTCCGCAGTTGAAACAAGATACCTTCTGATGTTCATTCATGTTTATTACGTGCTATTACTAGTAAAGAGGAAGAGATGATCAGTTCACATGCCGCTACAGTGACACATTAAAGAGCCACAAAATCTATAATTTCTTAAAAATTCAAAACATTTTTAATTACTTTAATTTATTTACATGTTGTCATATGAACAAATAACCAGTAAATACACTAATGTAACAAATCTAAAGTCCGCACCATTGTAAGAATTTATATCCAAATGAACTTTTCTTTTCAATCTTTTTGACTTACTGGACTTGTTTGAAAGAACAGGCTGAGATTCATTTGTTCTTGAACTGGACGTTATGACTGGGCAGTGTTCGTTGTTGACTGCAGTAAAACACTGGTACGTGGCTGAGATGAGATGATATCTGACAAAACCGCTTGTGGGCTACATTTTAAGATATGCTCTTAATTTTTTTTTTTACTACATTTACAACCATTTTAGTCACCATTTGAAGCCCTGGTTAAGGTTTTGTGTAACGAATCAGCTGAAGTTTACGATGTTATTTCACTAAAAATATTATCCTTGTGTAGCCTGAAAACTCCCTATTCACTAAAAATGCACGAAACGGAACGACCAGGCCATTTTTTCAAAATGTATTCTGTATTCCACAGTAGAAGGAAAGTCACATGGGTTTGGAAACTTTTAAAATTTCAACTAGAAACTATGAAAAGTCTTATGCATGAAGTCTGGAGGTCTCTCGGCCGTGAATAACAGTTCACTGACATTATGTCCAGTGATGTGTCTGTGGTGTGTAATGCAGTGAGCAGAGAGAGTAAAGGTCAGATCAGATCAGCGCTCGACCTTGTTCAACAGCACTGCCGTCCACGCCGTGGAGTGGAGACGTCTCAGTTCTACCTCCCCATCTGTCCCTCCTCATCTAGTTCTCTGTCAGTTAACATTAAGTACACATCCCCCGGTATCATGTCATACTCACAGTACAGCGACTTCAGAGCCACCTCTGTGTACAACACACACACACACACACACACACACACACATATGGGTAGTTGACAAATAGGCAGTAAAAAATGCTTATTTTCTAAAAGACAAATTCTGTATGTTTAACATACAGTTTTAATTAAAAAAAATAATTTAGGGGTGTCATACCAAAGGACAACAAAACGTAACACTTTTGTAGTGGTTCCAAAAATGTTAAATATTTGAACAATTCTGAGAGAAAAATTGACCATGTGCACATGTCATGGGCTTCACAGGGGGCTTTAGTAACATAATCATGAATGGGGTCCTTCAACTAATTAAATTTTTTTTTCTGGAATTGGCCGATTTAAAATCAAGATATGGTGTCACACCATAGGACATGGTTTTCAGAGACAAAATGTATCAAGTTCCTACGCTTTCAGAAATACATGTATGAAAAAAATGATTGCCATTTACTAAAATAGACACTTGCACAATTTTGCCGGAGGTATTTATTAACATTTTGATGCTTTTCTTTTTAATTTATAAAAGTTGTAATTTATTGAACCATGCTTGAGACAGTCACACCATAGAACAATTTTGAGATTTGGCTCAAAAATTTAAAAAATCGAATAACACTACAGCTTTTATAACAACAGGTCCATGTAGGACAAAGAAATGTTTAACCATTTACTGCATTTTAAATAACGACAATATTAATTATATTCATTTTTATCTTGTGGGACAGTGAAAATGACATGTCAC